TAGATGATTCAAAATATAATAAAACTATTATTTTAAAAAGATTTAAAAATACTCAATATGCTGAAGAATATTTTTTGAGAGAGGTAAATACTTTAAATGTTTAAAAATTCGTATTCATTTTATAAAAATTTTTAATTTTAATCTTGAAATTTATAGCTAAAGTCGTATCATGATAGTTATGCGGATAACGAAGATTATGGTATTACTATGGTGATTGAAACTTATGGTTTTACAAAAGATCCTCAATTAAATGGATTAGATAGTTATATATTAGTTATGGAATATGCTTCAGGAGGAGATTTACATAAGTATCTACAAAAGAACTTTACAAGAATTGATTGGCAAAAAAAACCAGATATACTACTTAATATCAAGAAACTCTCAAAAAAGCAATAAGAAATGGGGAAATTTTTTCGTATGAATATAATAGCGTATTTCTATATTTAATATTTCATTTATGTATATTTTTTTTACTATGCAACATTATTCGATTAGCTTTGGTTAAATGACTCATTTTCACAAAGTAAGAATTAAGACGAAGTTGAATCCATAAGGCACAGTTAAAAGGCTAAAATCATAAATAGATATAAAACCCTTAACGGTCAAAAGGACTTGACCAGATAATTAAATCATAACTTGAACCGACAAATTTCAGAAAGTGTATAAAATTTAGACTTAATCATAAAAGCGCATGAAAAATGTAGGATTTTGTAAAGCGTGCTAGATTTATATAATAAACTTTATGAAGAAATTCATGGTATTTTTGTAAAGTAAATTAATGCCAACAAAATGTTCGCTTTTCTCGTTTTTTATAGAGAAAAGAACAGGTTTTTATCCGGGTAATACCGGGTATACTCATATCTAATAAGAAGATAAACGGGTAATACCCGTTTTGGAGTCGGTAACACATTTTTTTGATTTGGGTATGAACCGGTATTGTCATGTGATCATCATGTGCCACTCCGAAATTGATCGATGTTGCAAATGTTTAACATGATTAACATGTCGGACATAATTAATATGCCGAACATGTCGAACCTAATTAACATGTTGGTTATGATCAACGTATTGAACATGTTAGTTATATTATACATAGTAGATATGTTAAATTTATTAGTATATGTATAATTTATTATAAATATAGGTCAATTATCTTGTAGTAAAGGAAGGGAATAAATAAAGTTTTTATTTTTAAGTTATAAAGTGACAGTTTTTATCAAGTGAAATCCTTTATTCGTGTTTGGAAGTATATGCCGACGTACAGCGCTATACAACACGTCTGATCGGATAATTTTTATACATTGTTTAATACATTGTCTAATTATACACTAATAACCTTCTGCTACCTAACCACATAAATTGCTTAATAAATTTAAGCGTAAAGAACTGATACAACAGTATGCTAAACCAAGAGGCCTTGGTTTTTGGTATTGCAAACCTTTTAGAGTAATGAAATGCTGATTGGGTTCATAAGTTTTCAGTACTTATAATTGTTAAATATAGTATACCTTTAGAAAAAATGTCTCATGTATCAATTCTAATTTTATAATGGCTCGATGCAGAAAAACGCGGCAACGACAATTTTATGGATTACTGCGGTTCAAAATAATTATTGACACCAAAAACCAAAATCTCACGTTTTCATATTATTAATTTAAAGTGGCTTAGCTCTTCAATAATAAATTTTAACATGGCGCAATGTAAAAAAAAATGTGGCAATAATGCTCTTGTACGCCTCCTTATTTTACTTACCTTCATCAAATAATATGATAAAATAAAAATAATTATTAATTTGAAAATACTGTCATTATAGAAAAATTTTCTATAACAAATTCACGAACAAAAAAAAAAAAATTTGGAATCATGCAATTAAAATATTTATTATTAATTTTTGTCTTTACTATTATTTTAGTGAGCAAATGAATTATTTTTTAAAAAATTCATCTTTTTTTTTATTAATATTAATATTTGATAATTATTAAAACAATTTCTTTTTAATAATAATTTAACTCATCATTAATGCAGATGCAAAACCCACAAGCAGAACCATAAGGTTCATATAAACGTGACGCAAATGCAGAACCATAAGCTGGTGGGTAATTATGAACGTGATGCCGCTTAAATAAAATATTTTGTAGCATTACGTAAATATGAATTTTAATAAATATTTTAATTAGTTTTTAATTTCAAAAGTAAAATTTGAGTTGTACTTTTTACCGAAAATGTTACAATCAATAAATAAAATGTATCTAATCAATTCCAATATTAGTATAATATATTAACCGACGTCATTAAAACCTTTGTATGATATAAATATCAATTACATTTACTTCGCTTTCGTTAATAATACTACAATCTTATAGATTACTGCGTTCGAAATAATTATTGATATAAAATCTCGCATTTTCACATTTATTATCAATTTTAAAGCGCCTCTGTTCTTCAATTTAGTTTGAAATATGTTATAAAAATATTTTTTTTTTTTCTTAAAAGAGTATTTATAAGAAAATTTATCTATAATAACAAATTCACGAATAAAAAATCTGGAATCATACAAATTTAAATATTTATTGTTAATTTCGTCTTTACAATTGTTTTAGCGAGTAAATAATCATTAAAAGAAAATTTTCTTTTTTTTATTAATATTAATATTAATTATTGAACTGAATTTTTTTAATAATAACTTAATTCATTATTGACGCAGAACCACAAATTGGATATAAACATAACGCAGATGCAGAAACACAACGTAAAAATAACGTGACGCGAATGCTTTTGTTTGGTATATTCATTACATATGTATAATATGTATAATATCGAAAATTTGCAACTTGAAAATATCTGTAAATATACAACTTTGTGTGATTTATACTTAAGATATAGTTTCAAATTATATGTATCTAAAAAAGTTGTGCATATCTGTACAAATAAGTAGTTTCAGTAACCTACACTTTAAAAAATTTAATGTGAGAAGTATTTATTGGCTGACTATATATGTATATATATGTTCGAGTGTTGACAAATATTTGTGGAACATATGAACCGCGACCTCTGGGTCACGGTCTCGTAATTGAGCAACTTTTTTGTATTACATAAAAATTTGCCCAGGTTATTTCGCATTTAGAAGTCTAAGTCAAGAATGATATAGTATCAGCTAAGTTGATAAGATATAGCTTATCCAGTTTCGTTTTTATTCATTTTCATAGATCTACAGTAACTCAAATCCAGTAAACTATTATTGTTCTAGTTTTCTTACATTTTTTCATGTTCTGTTAAAACGTTGGAAGAAAAATAATATTTAGTTGTTACATGTCCTCTGACTGATAAAGATTCTTTTCTCTCTGCGTAAAAAATGGTTTGAAGTGGAATCCATATTTCAAATTGAAATATCTCTAATTGTACTATAGATTGGTACTTTCTCAGTTATACATGGAAAAATTTTGTATGCGAATGAAACTGAATCCGAGTATCCTTAGTTTAGATAATTGCTAAAAAACGAAGTTATACACGAATTTGAAGATAATAGTGGAGGTCATTGGTAGAAGTGAGTAGATAATGAGAAAGTAATCATATCGCTACTCCATAACTCCGAATTCTTTATTGTAGAATGTTTATCAAATGGTTTACATGCCAATAATAAATTTATTTCGCTTGCAATTTTTTATTTATATTTTTTTTTCTATTATACAGTATATGTTTGAGAAAGTTTAAAAACTTAAGAAGTACTTGAGTATTTCTCATCTAATGATTTCCTTTAAAATAACTGCATATGCCTTTGTAAAATAACGCTCTAATGATGTTTCATCAATATATATAACGAGATCATTACCTTTTACAATTTCTAGGCTGTTTTGTATTGTTATCAGCTGCTAAATCGGGTAATGTGTAATGGATTAGAAGTCACCTTGAAAAATAAAACTTTCGTACATATCATCAAATTTTTGCCTCAGTTCATTACATTTTATTTCACTTTCAATATCCTTCGGGTATTACATTTGTTAATTTCTTATCCTCATTAATCTTTTTATCACTTAATTTTTCAGTGAGCATTTTTGCTAAATAAAGTCCAGTAAGTTTGTTCCAACTTTCCAATATAGATGCCATCTGGTGCATGAATTGACCAGGAATAAGCATATATTCTGAATATGTTGATTTATATAGAAAACTATCAGTAACATCCAAATCATTTTTCAATGCTTTATCAAGTCAAGAAAACATTTCTAAATTTCCATATGATTTAAACTTGATAACTGCTACTTTGGCCCATTCTGGTAGATTGGATTGATAAGATCTAAAATCTGTAAATCTTCCTATTGCAAGATATTGACATACGATGCCTTTAGAGGTATTTGAATTGTCTTTATAATAAGAAGATCGTCATAATTCACGTAAGAGAATCTTAATCAGCGTTTCAGTAGGACCCAGAAATATATATAAAAGGGTCAGGTTTGAGTTTGCGTATTTTGAAGCAAATATTTTTTCCATGGATTCACGATAGTGGCATCATGAAAATCTTTCCTTTTTGAGATAATTTTTGATAATTCCAGTCAGAATTTTATTATTTCCTAATATAGTAATCGACTGACATTATCATAATTCCGGCCCTGAAAAAATGCGTACAGCTCATAGTAAAAAATTTTTTTCATCACCTGACCCCTATATATATATTTCTGGGTCCTGTTTCAGTAGGTTGTTTATTTTAACAATCTATATTGCTAAAGGCTCCTTGACCATCCAAAATTTTTTATTTTCGTCATCTGATTTCAATGAAGTAATACCACAGTCGACGAATATTGCTGAATCATCATTTATTTCACTTTTAGATACGTAACCAACGCCTGAGATAATTTCCTGTCCACCATTGATTTGTGCCAAGGGGTAGTCACATGAACTAATATCCGGGAACTTCTTTTTGAGAAGAATAAAGGTAAAAAATGAGATTTCTACAAAGATGATATTTTTTTTTCTCCTATAGCATTTTTAGCATCATATATTGCGAAGGCTGATTCCTGATGAGTCAAGGCTCGCAAAATTACGATCCTTTGTTGGATCTATTTTAGTCGTATCTGGCGGCTTACATTCCATATACTCATAGCAATCATGTCGTTGTTCTAGTTTTGCCAGCACCAGAAACGGAATAAAGCAAATAGAAACTTTTGTAATTATTTATCAATTTTCCTTGCCGCTTTCAGTGGCATCTAGACGCATGTCCACATAGTTTAAACAACTAATTGGCATTTTATCTTTGGAGAAATGTCCAACGATATTTACTGTGAAACCAGGATAAAGTTTTTGTGATTTGTTAACAAGGATATTCTTGTCAAATTCTTCAAGCACCATCTTAAACGAAACAACTTTTAGTCGCTTTTGTTCTCTGTCAACGGATACTATAATTTAAAAAAGGTGAATGTTATCAACCATTAGTAGAAAAAGCGAAATATTCTAGTGATTTCTTGATGGCAAAAATATACCTGAATCTGCGGATTGTTTTTGTCCAGTAATTAAAAACAATTAAAAAAAAAAAATGACATCAAAATTATATTAGTTACTGCAAATTTCTTGTTCTAGAGGTAAAACATTAGAAGACATTTACCAGCAGCTTCGAGAATTTGTACAATGATGTGAATTGCCTCCCTAATGATTTTATTTTCTTCAAATTTTTTCTTAGTAAAATATTTGGTAAGTAAGTATCGAGGTTTCCATACGCTCGCCTCCAAGATATGTTTTAATGCCATTTTCGGAAGAAAATATTTTAAGACTATTTTTACTATTTTCAGCCATTTTACATCAACTTTCCAAAGTACTAGAGCGTTAGGTTTAATATTTTCATCATTCATTTGACAAAAGACAAGATACTTGATATGTGAAATTTTAATATCTCTAATTTTAGTATGGTTTCGACCGTTGATAACAATAATTTCTTTGCCAATATCAACCAAGAAAGATTTGTCAGAATTTTCGCCTAGAAGTAGACAATTTAATGACATTCGCATTTTGGAAAATAAATTTGTAAAGTTGATAAAAAAGAATTTTTAGAGAAAGAAGTATTTTTAAAAAGAAATTTTGAGGGTATACATATACTTGTAAGATTCATCTGCGGATTCATCATTACTAATATCTTGATCAGTGGCTTATAATGATGATATCAGTATTTCGAAATAAAATTATAAAAAAATCAAAAAATCAAAAAATCAAAAAATTTATGCAAAAGAAATGATTAATATGATGAGTATTTATTATTAAAAAAAGGTGACGCAATTTTTCGGTCATACGGTTGACCGACTTGACCGTATTTGATTAAGTATGGGAAATGTAATTATTTAATATAAGCTTAACTTCTTTCGGTATAATTTTCATCAATCCATATTTTTATATTATTTGTAGCTTTACAGATTTTTTTATTTTTATTTTTATTTTAACATAACGACAGAACAGAGGTACAACAAGTACGGTTGAGCTTTAATTACAATGAAGGCTTTTTTACGATTTGAAATTGACACAATAAATATATCTATCCTTTTTTTTATATTTGACGCATTAAAAAATATTTTAATAAAATATACAATATAAATTAAAATTAAAAATTATTAGTAAAAATTTATTAATTTTACTAAGCAATGTAATTTTTATAATATACATTGTTTACATCATTACATGATTAAATAAATAAAAAATCAAATCTACAAATTAAAAATCGTACATAATATTAAATTATTAAATTATATTCAGTAAAAACTCAATTAATAAAATAGAATAAAAGAAAATTTAAAATTACATAAAAGTTTGTATCCAAACATCAAAAAGTCACAAACACACTAGGATTCAAAAAAATAGTTTTCATAAATTCTATTTTCGCTTTAAACGTTTTGCAAGTAGTATTGATATAAATGAACGTCTTATCTATTTCATTAGGATTTCTGTAGAAAGTATTTTCATTTTCTACACGAAGATATTTAACCCAAGTTCTGCATTGTTCATTAGAGGAAGGTTAGTTTCAACCGCATTTTGCATTCTTGCATAAGAAATAAATGTTTCTCTGCGATCAAGTGATCACGTTCAACAATGCTCACCCCACGTTTAGAGTTAGTATATGTCATGTTTAGACAATAACTCTTTACACTTATATGGCTGAAACATACAGTAAATTTATGTAATTCAATTATTATTCGACAATTTTTTATGGTTAGGTCGCTCCAAACTTTCATTATATAATTGGTATATTAATTATATTCATATTATTCTGCAGGGAAATTTTCATCTGAAAATTAGTCCAAAGTTCTGTCAATCTCGAAACACTTGAAATATCAAAAGACTTCAGATTAATCGATCTACAATGGACATGATTAAATGAAATTTAAATGGGTGCATTTTTCTAGAACGATATCTATTGGTTTAATTGTAGTCTTCACAAAATATTTGTTGACCATTTCTTTGGTATATCATACGTCACTAATCTCACTAATCTGCGTTAATTACGTGGATCCGTGGATTCTGAGGATCTACTTTTTTTTAAATAATCGTCATGTTTATCGTCACGTTTTACACTCGTTTTACCTTTTTTGATTAAGCCAAACTTTATTTAATTTTTCCTCACTTTACTTTCAATTTAATCATCACAATCTTTATATATAGAATTTTCTCCCTTTGTAGCGAACTCGTTCTCGAGTTTAACCATTTTACACGACCTCTCATTTTTACAACATTTTATTATTAATTCCTAATTATTACTCTTTCAACATTTATTATTAGGTTTTCAGCGTTACCAGTAAATATCCTGTCTTTTTTCCTAAATTTGTAAAAAAAAAATTTAATTTCCGTATGAAAAGGGAACAAAGATCTCACGCAGATCATTCGATTTGGCGTGGTTTGTTGGTTATATAAGGAAATGATAGTCCGGAACTAAAAAAAAAATGTCTTAGCTTTATAAGTGTTTATTGTTTAAATAAATAATTCCTTTTGTATTATTAATTGAAGCATAAGATCTTCTGTGACGGGATAAATCTGGAAATACATTTGGTGAATAACAATTACCATAGTTGTATTTGTTGCTTAGTAAAAATCATATGAAAAAGATGGATGAAAAGAAGTAATTTCATTATTTTTTTTTTTTTTAAAAAAAAAACATTGTTAATTTTTATTTATTTCAACTTTAATAATTGAAGTAATTTTAATTCTTGATTAATATAATCATCATATAAAATCGTGAAGGAAAAATAAAAAAACAATTCACACACGTAATATGAATCACGTGACGTCGTGACGACCGGGACGTTACCAAATTTGGGGATCAAATAGTTTGTGTCACATCTTATATAACAAAACCATTTATTTCCAATTATGTTTAAAGTCGACTCAATTCAAAAATCTTCATAATAACATTCGCTTTTTGTAATACATAATCATCAAAATCATAAATATAAATATCAAACCAAGAATAAATCAAAATTTCCAATCCTAATCCAATTAAATTATTATCTAAATATAAAATTATTTTAAAAATGATTATTTTAAAATAATTAATAACAAAATAAAAACCATTTTCATCATAAATTTCAATTACAGTAGTAAAAATTTCAATAATAGTTTCAATAATCCATAAAAAAATATAAGAAATAATTATAATAAAAAAAGCATAAATAATACCAATTAAATAAAATATTGGAAAAAATATTATAAATATTAAAATTTTTAAAAAAATTGTTGATAAAAAAATTTCATAATTCATTAAAAATTCTTCAATTTGATCATGAAATGCTTGAATTGGTAAAGTGAAACAACAATAAATAATCATTACTATTAATGAAATTATTATCCAAAATATTATTATTATAATAAGTAATAAAAATATTATAATAAAATCAAAAATATTGATTATTTTATGAAATATAATTTCAAAAATAATTAATTTATAATTTTGAATTTTTTTTGAAATTTTAATAGAATTAAAATTCCAAAAATTTTTTATAAATTTTATAATTTTTATAAATATTTCAAATATTAAAATATCTTTTAATTCAATAGAATCATTAAAATATTGAATTAATGATGCAGTTGAAGAGAATAAATAAATTGGATATTCCGGTCTTAAAAAAATTGTTATTAATTGACGTATTAATATAATATTAATAATATATCCAATAAAAATTATGATACAAAGTGGAATATATAATAAAATAATTAAAGGTGAGAATAAAAATAAATAAATTCTTATTCTTAAATCAAGTTTCCCTTTAATAAAAATAAATGAATATAATTGATATATTGACGGTAAATACCAAATTAATGTGATCAAGAAATTTGATATTAAACTTAAGATGATTATAGGTATAAAATAAATAATTGATTCAATTATTATTAATATTGAAAAGCAAAATATTCTAATTATTTTTGTAATAGTCATTTTTTTTTTATTTGTTAATCATAATTTCAAAGCCATATTTATATTTTTTTTATTTATTCTAAATCAGGATGCTCTATAAAATTTTATACAGAATATTTGTATCACATTTCATTTGCAGTTTTTGTGGATCATCTGACCACATTTGGTGGATCATCCGGAATGTATACTGGATATTTAGATAGTTTATCCGAATAACAGGTTATCAACGAGATTTAACTGGATTGCTGAAATTCGGATGAAAAGTTTACCTTCTAACCGCCAAATAACCTTTCAGCCTTTGAAATTTAGTCGGGTGAAATAAAATATACCAGACCTACGCGGATTTTTAGAGCGGCTTGTAATTTTTTTTTTTTTTGGTCGGTAACGCGCATCTCTTTATTAATTTATGATATCAGATATATATACATACAAAATACATACATAATAATATAACGCCTCGCTTTATACGAGACTGTATTAATACTATATATATATAACAAAGACTACTATGAAAATCGGACCAAGGCCGAAGCGCCCGGTATGGAGAGATTTTTGGTCCTTGACGCCATCAATTTCAATGTATTTCTTTCGTTTAATCTGTAATTTGTTCTTAATTGCACTTACATAATAAAGAAATGCGTTTACGAGTTGTCAAAAAAAAAAAAAAAGTCTACTATGAAAATCTATACTGTAGATGTTTAACTAATCATCTATTTTCTTCTTTCTCGGCTAAATAATAATAAACTATAACTAAGAAAAAAAAATTAATCTAATAGTAAGTTAAAAAGAAAAAACTATATTGAATTATGTAGCTATTTTAATCTTCATGAGTAAAAAAGGCAAATATTTTTCCAGGTGTCACGTTTACGTCATACAAAAAAGTAAAAATTAAAAATTCCGACTTGACCTTGTTTTGGACAAACTTCTGATACATAACGTATCACCGTTTTTGCATCATTTTCGTCCCAAACCAGCCTTCTCTACTTCTCTTTTTGTGTTTCTATGACGACACGTTGAAACTTTTCTCAGTCTTCTCGGTCGTTTGATATATTTATACGCTTGTTCCCATCTTTCTTTGCGATTGAACTTTTAGTTTTAGGCAACCTTGATGCGGACTTTGTGTTGGTTTCATTAAAAATTAGAATTTTCTCCGCCAACTTTCATAAATTCAATACTATATACGTGGACTATATAATATAATAATTTCATAAGATACTGTCTACTCAGCGGCTAAGCTCCTGATAGACATCAAGCAAAAGTTACAATAATTAAATTATAAAGGTTTCTATATTGATTTCGTGATTAATATAATTTAATTTAAGTAGAACTACAATAAGAATGATAAATATAAATGTGTTTGAATGCAAGTAAAACTTAAAAAAAAANAGAATTCATTTTTTTAGAATAAATTTTTTTTTTTTAAAAAAAAAAAAAAAAAAAAATGAAACGAAATTTTTCTACTACTAAAAAACTTAGATTAATAATAACAATTTTTTTTTGAAAAAAGTTTAAAATTTTGTCTTGTACCGCACCTTACTTCAATTTAGTGTTAATGAAAAGGTAAAGAATAAAGATTTAAATTTGAAAAAAAAGATAATTGAATTTGGATCAAAGAAGCCGATCAAGTAAGCCTTTGGTTAATGAAATTGATCGCAGTAAATAAGTTAAAAAGTATTGTACGCAAAAAAAAGCCCAGTGCAGGAATTGAATACGATTATGATACCGTAATTAAATTACTATTAATGATAAATACTTAAATACTTAATATTATAATTACGTTACTTTTTGGTGATATATAGCCATAGAGTATTAAGCTTAAAGATTTTTTTTTTTTTTAATAATTTCTTGATGCCTATATAAATATGTGTGTATAAATGTTTAATTTGGTTTGAAAATGATTTAAAAAAATACACCAAAAAATGAATAATCAATCTTACTTTTAAATGATGTTTTCGGTTTACTTTTTGTTGTACCTGCATGTACTATAAATCATATTAGTTTTTTAAAATATAATCTTATTGGTAAAAAATAATAAGATAATGTAATTAATTACCTTGTTCAGGAATTTCTAATTCATCTTGATCATCAGGATGTAAATTTGGATCGACTTTATCTATTAAAATTAAATATTATAAAAAAGTTCGTTTTATAAGAAACAACAAGAATATTTAATGTAAAAATATACAACTTACCTTCATTTAATTTAAACAGTTCCTTATGAAATTCTTTAAATTTTAAATATATAAATATAAAATAATATTATTAGCATTTTAAATTATCATTTAATGATAATAAGTAAGAATAGGAATAGGTACCTTCTTGTTCCTCTGTTAAAAATATAAAAGAATATAATATTTAATATTTGCACAATTAAGAAATAAAAATAATAATAAATTCTTTACCTGGCGTCGCATTTTTTGGTTCCGGTAAGCCTTTAAATCCATTTTCACTTATAGTAGTATGGCTGCTTGATTGTAATGATTGTGAGTTGACATAAACATCCTTTTCATCAATTTTTAATTTTTCAAATACAGTTGCTAAAATAGGTCTTTTTGACGGGATTGCATCCAAGCATTGATTTATTAGTTCATGATATTCCAAATGATCTTCCAGCAAAATTTTTGGTCTCATTCCACTGAATACTTTCACCTTCAAATCACTATTATGCACATATCCATGGTACGGTATTTTTCCAGACGAGATTTCCAATAAAAGCATACCAAAACTATAGATGTCAGACTCGGGAGTACGTTGTCCTCCAAAAATAATTTCAGGTGCCATATAAGCGATGTTATTGTATTCATTTTTTGTTGAATCATCAACATCTCTTGGTAAATATCTTGGGAAAATCATTACTAAAACTTTTCGAACACAATGTTCACAAAACGATTCGAATGAATATTTTAATTTACAAATTTCACAAATCTTTTCTTCACCTTCACTAGATTTGTCTTGATTAGATGTGTATTGCATGTTTCAATCGTATCTCGTCCAATTCTGGCTGAAAAGAATAGTTTGTCTGAGAAACTTCAAACGAAAAGTGAAGATGAATCAAGTATATGATATAATTATGACAAGTGTCATTGAAGATGTAAGAATTTTTAAGATTTATCGAGATTTTAAATGAATCTTAAATAACAAATACTCACTTTATATTACATTCATCGATGTTTGTTTTTTTCCATTATTTAATTTATAATGAATGTTGGGCACTAGAACAGATGAGGAAAGTAAAGAATGATAAATGTCAAAAAAATTAAGGAGTTCGATAAAACAAACATCGATGAACGTAATACAAAGTAAGTTCTGTTGATGTGGTGTAATGATTTTATCATTCTTAAAGAACAATGTTCAAAGGCTTACGAACCAAAAAAAGTTAGACATAATTTTTTTATTTGGTTTCACGATTTTTCAAGCCTTTGATTAATCAATGAAATTAGGTTAGCGTATACCACATTGATATATAACCAAATTTGGATTAATTAAATAATTATTATTTTTTTCTATCTTTTAAATCAAAATAAAAAAAAAATTTCGTTAGATAACAAATTTATAAAACGATAATGTTTATAATCTTTATTATACATTGTAATACAAGATTTATTTGAAAGATTTCGCTAAAAGCGGTCAACAAAGAAATATCTTTGATCATCTTCTTTGTTAAATGAACATAATAGGGATCTTAGGTAGTACAAAAAGGTTCTTCCAAATTTTGACTGTACTATACTAAATTAGTAATATCGCACACGTAGGGAAAAGCTTTTGAAACGTACGTAATCGACTAATCGCATTGTAAATTGTTTTCGTAAATAAAATAATTTATTTTATTATTTTAAATTACTTGGTGTCCATTGTGTTGATAATGAATTTTTTTTTTTTTATACTTCGTACAATTCATAAGATTATATATATATATATTTTAATATTTATTATAATAACGATAAATTATTAATATAATAATACTAGGAAACGGAAACCGTTTGCAAAAAAAGCTAAAACTGGTTTTATTGGAAGATCACGTGCAGACAAGAGAAGCTTCCTTGCGATTTTATTGGGCAATGTTCCCGTGACCAGAAAATTCTAGAAAAATTCAATTGTATGAAATATTTAGATTATTTTGACTTTATATTGAATAAGAATCTTTAAACTTGCTGTAATTGTAAAGTCTCAAACTCTCCTACTTGTCACTAATATACCTTTTTATTAGATTTTTCTTAGTTTAAAAGTTTTTTTTTTTTTTTTTTAAAAAAAAAGAAAGTTTACGTAACTTTAACAAGTATTAAACACGAATGAATATGCGATAGATTAAGTTGTTGAACGATATTTAATTATAATAGCTTTTTAATGAATACAAAAATATGATGAAATTATATCTAGAGAGAAATCTTGAGAACTTCACGTGATGCATCATGAAAGATTATTTATTAATTTATAATAACTAATAAATAAACAAAATTCCAAGTANAAAAAAAAAAAAAAAAAAAAATACGCAATTACACAGAAACAACTTTTTTTTTCAAAATATTTGGATTTTCATTATTTCAGAAAGATTCTGTAGAATTTTCGATTTTATGGGTGATCGGCTAAACTTGTTTTAATTTTGCCCATGCAAAAATCATGCAATAAAATTTCTTGTATTTTCGCCATTTAGATTTAAAATGCAGATCATCTCTAAAAAGTAGTGCTCCTAACGGGTCGGGTTTTGAAGATATACCCGACCCGACCAAAGTGAAAAAGTCTTGACTCTAAACCTGACCCGAGTATAGTTCGACCAGATATCCCGGGTCTAAACCCGAATTTTCAAAGGAAAAAAAATAGCGACCACCATTTTTTCGGCATTATAATAAAACCTTAATGAAATTATAATAGATTTAATAGATTTGTAATATTATGAGGTTTGTTATCATTCATTTATTATAATTAATTAGTATTTGTTTAATAACTCGGGTCAACCGGGTCGGGTCATACGGGTCACCGGGTCATAAAAATTATTGAACCCGACCCGAGCTTTTAAGTCGGGTCGGGTCACATGACCCGGGTCGACCCGTTCCGTTAGGAACACTACTAAAAAGAACTCTCTCCTATCGATCCTTTAACAAAATTTTACGAAGGAAAAAAGACGGTTGAGACTTGAGAGTTATGAAGGTGCCATTTTTGTAGGAGTTTATGTTTTTGTAGTGGCCAACTTGTTCATCTTTCTTTCCTACACCTGGGATATAAATTTTATGGAAATCTATAAGTTTTTGGAGTTGTTTCGCATAAAGATTTTACAAAAAAAAAGGTGTTTTTCTTCGAACAAAATACCTATAAAAAGCTGGTGTGGGCTAAGGTCTATTGCAAGAAATATAGCTTTAAGTTAAAATTCATAGTGAAGCTCTCCTTCTGGTCTTCTCAGTTCCGGTCTTATTCCCTTCACCATTGTCTTTTATTTTCAAAAAGATTTTTTTTTCCTTGACTGGTTTGGAATGGCGCAGGGAAGGTTTCGAGATAAAAGAGAACAAACCAAATTTCAAGTGATTGTTGCGTATCAAAAATCATTTCTGTGGTGATTAGCGAATCAATCGTAAATCTAGCAGTCTATCACTCAAAGATCTTACATCAAGACAAACAGTTTATAGAAAGATAATATAACAGTCGATTTTGCTTGAGGACATCACTTCGCTTTACAAGGGACATTAATTCTGAGTAAATTGCCACTTGAGAGTTTTGAGTATGTTAGTCGAGGATGTCTATTGGGATGTTGACAAGCGGAATTGGTTTGTGAAATGGTGTCTGTTTAGACGCAATAGCCTTGTTCAATTCCGGTCGGTTACATTTTTCGTTCAGGTTTTGTTTATTTTGATTTGTCTGATTTTTTATGTAGCGCATGAAATATCTGACCCATAAAATTTTTGGGTTTTTTCGGTCAAACGCATTTCACCAATAGAATGGTTTATATTGAGTATGCAACCGACTGGAGTTGAACAGGGTAATAAAGGCGTTTATTACAAATGATGTGATTAACCAAGTATAAAGCGTATCGTGTATCAAGACGGTCATCAGGCATATAGGCTCAGTTAATAGTGCAGTCTTGGAAGTTGTGTTTTTTTTTAGAATTAGGACTCTTTTAAGTGGACTAATTCAGTAACTGTTACAGGTTTCATTTGGACTAGTTAATCTAATTATTAGTTGCATAATTAGTTTACGCAAATTTAGTAAACTTATAAAGTTTCAAATTTTTATTCTTTTGATGTAAGAAGTTCGTTTATTCTTTAGACAATTATATTGTTACATATATCTGTGTTTTTACAAGTGTAACCAAGGCGAATGCGATCTTGTAAGTAAGTATATAATGCATGTATAGTTTTCATAATCGGCAAAATTAATTAATTAATTTTATTTTTTTAATTAAAATCATTGATCTTCAAAATGTAATTTTGGCCGAAATTATCGTTAATTCTGGCCAAATTGATAATGTCGGCTAAATTTCGGCAAAAATTGAAAAACGCGGGTAAATATAATACCGCATTTATAAACGAAACGGCTTGAAACGCTTTAAAAGTAAAATAGGAACTTATTGATCGTTTTTCCGGCCCTATTAAAGAATTTTTAGGCTATACAAATTCGATTTTTCGGTTCACTTCACCTGGCTGGGCCACTTTTTTAAAAAAAGTTTATATATAAAAAGTTTATCACGTGATCATGACGTAATTTTATTGACGGTATGTTTATCACGTGGCTGAAAACTTTGGAGCGAAAATAAATACTCTCTCCTTTAAAAGTCAACCAATCAGATGTCACGATTTTACATATAAAACTTTTTTTATTAATAAACAATAAACCCCAGGTCTCCGGGTCGATTTTAAATTTCAATGTTGCGTAAACCGAAAAATTGAATTTGTGTGGCCTTAGTATAACTTTTGCCATTTTTTATCAAAAGTTAGTCCATTTTTTTTTTCGTTAAAGCATAATAAAGACGGTTTTATTAAGCATTTAAAACTTTCAAGACTGATAAAGTACTATGTTTATATATATATATACTGTATATATATTTGAATAAATCTTTAAAAAAGTCTTCTTTTTTATAGATTTAGATTTATTTGACATATTGATGAATATGAAAGTTTGGAGAAAGATTATATAATAAACATGGAAGTTTTAGAAAAAGACTTTTTCCAATGAAGATGATAATGAATATGAAATTTTATAGAGGAAGACCCGATAGGTAGTGATTATGGTTGATGAATCTTGTTGAATTTTGAAGTTTTTAGTAAATACAAAAATCTAGAGAAAGATTTGGTAGGTTATTGTTTAATGTCTTTATTTTATTTATGTCTTTATTTTATTTATCAAGCGTGAATAAAAATAATTTTGATTTATATTTTAATAAATTTTATTTTATTAGAATTCTTTTAAGTAAGGGAAAGAGTCATTGAAGAATCATCTATACAAATTAAAATGTACATATCTTAAATGAAAACTAGAATACCTTGCTACTATCAAACCATAAAATTATAATAAAGTAGAATTCGCCACAAGCTACAATCACAAAGAAAGAGTTGAACTTCCTAAGGGGAGAGCCTGCCAAAAAACTAAAATGACCTAGCACCACACAAGCAAAAAAGGACATACCACCACCTAGATAAGTTATAATAAACTAAATTACGAAATATCTAAAAAAAAATAAAAAATAAAAAATAAAAAATAAAAATTAAAAATTAATGCAGGTTAAGGACGCTCCGAGCTTTTTTGTTGCATTTTACCAACAATCATTTAACGACCACAGTTAATCAAATTACTGACAAATATATCTATTTCGCTTCTTTCTCAATAGACAATTTTTTAATTGTTTTATTTTTTTTTAGTTCAAACCGAAAAATAAATTTTTTTTTATAATCTAACTAAAAATTATTTTTTTGGATTTTCAAATTACATCGAAATATTGATATTCATATCCTTTTCAGATACAAATATACAAATATTCTTGTATTCTCAAGTTAAATGAATAATAATTAACTTTTTAATTACATGCTTGAACGCGTTTCGCAATAATTAGCTTTGCGGCAAGAAGGCGGAATGAAGGTTTGCGAGCAGCACAAATATTAAATTATTAACGAATTTTTCAACTAAATCTTACTCCATCTTCCTTTAATTGATTTTAAAGCTGCTCATGTTGATTCATTTCAACATGTATTCTCCAATATCTTCTTACCAATAAAAGTTAAATATTTTATTAAGTACCGATACTGTATGTGTTAGATGATAACTAATCAATCGTGTCAATCGATAAGTGAAGTGCGTCAGGACGTCAGGTGTCAATCGTCAATCAACACCTGACGTCCTGACGCGCATCACGGCATCTATCACTTGAAACCTAATTTAGCATAGCGGCCAATCAAAAAACAAAAATGGTGATCACCTGATACCAACAGCGATCTGTGCATATCGATTTTTGCTCATAATGCAAATAAAATGGTATAACGTGATCATGCAAGAAGAAGAGAACGCTGACGGGGACGAAGATAGGAATTCATTTCCTTTGGATAGAGCTTCACACGTCCCAGACACAGGGCCATACCTTGGAAAATAAATAGTTGGATGCTAATATTTTCTTTTCGGGTTCTTTTGGACTTTTCGTCAGATTTTTAGACTAGTCTTTGTATATGTGGCATTTCTGCCTTGTTGTAGATAGTTAAACTTTTATTTTACAAAAAATGTACTTAGTGTACCACGACTCTAAATTTTAGCAGACATAGCCATTATCCCTTATTTAATTTGGAGCTGTAAGCATAAAGGTGAAAGCTACAGTTGTTCCAGGAGCCGAACTAAAGGTACAGAATGTTAGTTGTATATTAGTTTGTTTAAGTTCGCTTCTCTTAAATCAATAAAATTGCAGCAATACACCTTAAGTCGCGTTCGCGGCAAAAAAAAAAAATAAATAAAATGGTATAATATAACTTTTTAAAGTCCTTACATATCTCGAAGTTCACTTGTGTATTAAGCTCTAATAGAAAATAAGGGTATGGATACACATAAATGTAAATGAAGTATTTGTATTGTGTGTAACTATGCGTTAAAAAAATCTAAAAAAGTGAGATAATTTCGATAATTTTACTTATACTATATATGTGCTACAAATAGTCTATGTTATTAGTGTGTAAAAAAATGACTATTGATATTATCTTAGAAGTACTTGGTATGTTACCTATTTAATACTGATAACAGAATTTTAAGAGTTTTAATAAAAAGACAAGAACATTATGTTATAAATAATAAACAAATAAATTGACAATGATAACTATATATTTTTACTATGGTGCTGCCAAATTCTGTCTTTCTCTATTCCCAGCAGTTAACTGATGACTCTCCCCACCAATTTCAGCATTACAATCTGGACATACACTCTTGACCCATGCTCTTCCACAATCTCCGATCGTATACTAAAAAAAATTGTTAATACTGTATATATGTATATATATTTTTTTAAAAAAAAGTGCAATAAAATTACTTACTGGATGGCCGTTGGGGCATTCATACCAATGACCTAATTAAACAATAAAAATAAGAATTAAAAATTTATTTTAAAAGGAAACTTTTGGTATAATGATTAAACGTACCTGAGTTATTAAATTCAGTCTGCATGACCCGATGAATTTCTAATTCTTCTTCAAAGGTTATAGTTTTGTTTAAATCTTCAGCGTAAGTTTTAATTTCATCACACTTTTTCTGTAAATCACTTAACCTCTTGTTGAGGATATAATCTTTAAATTCTTTTTCAATCTCATTACCTATACAGTATTCAATCATGTTTACAACGTCTCTCTTTGTATCTTCGCATTTTTCTATAGTATCTGTTTGAAGTTTTTTATCAACAATTCCATTAGGTGGACATTTTAACTGAAGTTTAAGCATATTAGTATATAATTCTAGTAATTCTACATTAGCTAAAAGACAATGCCTGGTATGATGAGATGATTCTGCTGTCTGTTTTATCGTATATAGATGTTCTTGAGTAGAATATTGCAAATTTTCGGCAAATATTTTCCAAAGTTTTTTGCATTCTTTATTTTTCGAAATTGCAAATAAATGTGATTTTGCATATTTTGCATTTTCAATTATGAATAAAACTTCGTGATATAGAATTTTTTGTATATTGATAATTTCAAAAAATACGTCTAAATAAATTTTCTGATCTATTCGTGGTATTGAGATTCCCATTTGCGAAAATGTTTCTTGGAAAGTTAATTGTGATTCGGAAATTGAAGAACCTAAAGAAGTGGAAGCAAAACTTGATAACCCACTTGATTTAGCTTGGTATCTAAAATAAAATTACTTTAAATAAATAAATGTTAAAACAATCATCTCAGGAAATAACTCGTTTTATACTTACAAACTCGAAACGGCGGCTTCAAAAGCTTTTTTATATGGTGGCATTTTTGTGTTACGAATAATTGAAGTTAATTTCTGATAGCAGCTTAATAAATTTTCAACATGATTAACCCAAACTCCGTTGATAGCTTTACTAAACCCATGATACTTTTCAATATTTCCAAAATAATCATAAGGTGTGACTTCACTCACTTCAGATGATTTTGTATTATGATTTTCAAACATTACTACTTCCTTTAACCTTGAGTAATACAATTCATTTATTAATTGAGTTCTCCCATTTCTCATTTCTTCTTCGTGAATAATAACTTGCTTAGTGATTTCATTTAGTTCATGACTATATTTATTTAGGAATTTTTTGTTTTGTACATCCAAAGTGTACTTGTTAATTATTCTCCCATACCTCCTGATATTTTTAACTGGCGCTCTACATGCAGGACATTTTATTATATCCTTTGATGAGGTTGGAAGTGCTTTAATTGATGTCCATCCTCTTTCAATTGAACCTTCATAATATTCTTCCATTTTCACAAGCATGTCCATTGTTTCCATGGTATAAACATGACCACAAGATAGAACAACCATTCTTTCTTCATTCCAGTCTATCTCACTAAACTTAGTACCCATTATCACATCTGGTACTATTTTTTAAAAAATAAATAGTAATTAAAGGTTAGAAAAAAATCATATAAATAAATTAATAAAAAATTTAACGTACCCTGATCCTTAACCTTCTCAGAAGCACAGTTGACACAAAAATCGTTTGAAGGACAAGTTTCACCACAAATTCCAGCACATCTGTGTCCACATTCAAATTTCTTGTCACATCTTTTATTACAAGGTAGTCTATAACAAGGTGCACCACAGCTTAACTCACATTTTCCTTGATGCTTGCATTTCCATAAGCATTTCTCTGCACATACAACACAAGGTTCAGCGCAATTTTTATTGCATGCTGCATGTTCACATGATACAGTACATTTATTCTCACATGGTGGACAATCATTTCCTTCATGACAATATTGTTTACATATATGTCCACAAAATAATAATCTTTCACATATATGCTTACATTTTCCATGCTGGTTTCGTTTAAATTCTTTTATATTTTCGACTTTGTTTTCATTTTTAGAATTTTCAGGTAATATGGAATATTTTTGACATTCAGAACACTCATTTAAACACTCGTGTCCGCACTTCAATAGTTCTTTGCATTTTTCCCTACACTCAACATTCTTAACGGACTTGGAACACTAAAACAGGAAAATAAACAATAAATATATCAGATTAAAAACATTATTAATATCAAATATACAGTATATAAAAAATTACGTACTCGAATTTCTTTATAGTGTTCGCAGTTTAGTAGTTTTTTTGTAACCAATTCTTTACAATAGAGTGTTTCTTTATCTTGATTTTGCCAACATCTACCATTTTGTATCTCATGATTACAAGGCAATTTAACTTTACCAATAAGATGATTACACCTTCCGCAAGTTTCAAAGCATTGTTTTGGACATGGATGACTACAATCTGGTTGTAATTTTCGACAAGGTTGAAAGCATTTGATTCCAATATGTTTAGGATCGTCGGAATGACATTTATAAGTACACGCGTGCCCACAATTAAGCATAAATTGACATTTTTTATAGCATCCTCCATCTGGACTAAATCGTTCAAATTGTTCCGACTCAGTAATAATATTCTTGTAATCAGGATGTTGATTACATACAATTGGCATACCAAAACCAATTTGTGGAGGGTTTCGTGTTTTTAACATATTAATTACAGGAGCCCATACATCTTCAGATTTCGTCGCCATCATTTCAGAATTACCAATGAGATACATTCCTTCACGGGCACGTGATAACAACACATTACTTCTATTTGAACTTTTGAGGAATCCGATAGAATCATAATCACCAGATTTAGAAACATTGCGAACCAACGAGACAATAACTATATTCGCTTCTTCACCTTGAAAATTATCAACTGTTCTTAAAGTTACTTGATGATTTAATGATTTTGTTGTAGCAACATTTGTATTTTTAACGATACTATCTTTTCCTTTCTTATTACTCTCATTTTCTTTTTGTTCTTCTTCCATTTCAATAATATTTTGTGCATCTCTTTCATCAATAACAACAACGAATGATTTAGCCAAAGCCTCTTTAATTTTCATCATTTGTCCTAGATAAGGAGTAAGTACAGCTATATCTTCTGGTTTAGTATATCCATTCCTAACAAAGTATTTTACCATCTCTACTACCATTTTTACTTCATATGTATTCACATGAGATTGTATTGCCAAATCACTATCAGAATTATCTTCCGGATGCCTATGGTCGATAAAATACACGTTATGTTGGGCCCCACATACATTCGGATATTTTGCCGTATTTTCACCATCAATTAAATTGGGATAAAGTGTATATCTAATAAGATCAGAGATCTCCCCCTTTCTCATACGTCTCTGAGTTAAAAGTTGAGATTTCTCAACCTTACTGGCCCTATCGCCGTTAACTAATCTTTCAAATAATGATTTATCTAATTGATAATTTCTTCCTGTCTTTGAATCCATACCAAGAGAAAAAGTTGAAATATGAGGTCGGAGTTGATTATGATCCCCAATTAATATCAAATGTTGAGTTGACGGAGTTAATGCACTAAGAATATGAGCTTCTAAAACTTCTCCAGCTTCCTCACAAATAATTATTTTAGGATCAATTGATCTAATTAAATCTTGATATTTTGCTGCCCCATTTGTAGTCACACCAATAACATCACTTTCTAATAGTATTTGACGACTTTCTATATCATAAATATTATTTAATTCTTTACGTTTTTTCTCATGTCTTTTTTGTAATTTTGATGATTTTTCTACAAACTCGTTATGGACCTTTACACGCCAATAATCGTGAAGTCTGTGTCTTTCTGATATTGACATCTGCCAGATTGAATAATCATTTAACAACACTGATAAAGGACGATCTGATTTTGGTTCATTATAATCTTCAATCCATTGCGTTGTATAATCAATTTGTAATTCGTCATCGCTCTCTTCATAGTATTTTAAAAATTCAAATGTATTTTTACTTACAACTTTTTTATCGTCCTTATTATCTTTCTTATTATTTTGTATATTTAATAAAACTTCCTTTCGCTTATTTATTGTATTAATATCTTCACATTTTGTCCATTTCTCAAATATTGATAAATTTTTCTTCCTTCTATCCTGATGATTACTCCAAGATTTTTCCTCGCTATCACATAAAATTTCATCATCACATAATTCTTGCACGTTAGTTCCTAAAACCCAACTAGGTAAATCACTGCTAGTCACGCGAGTAAATTTTTTATAAAAACTGTTTTCTTCAATCATCAGATATTCTCGTATATCATCCCATTTCATCCATCTTCTAATTGTCATATCATTAACAGCATCTTCAATAGATTCTAATTCACTATGTAATTTTGCTATTAAATAGGACATTTTATTATTATGAGCATGGTTTTTACTAAGAACTTCTAAATTAAAATCTTTAATCCTTTCAGATTTTGTTCGAGCACCTAATCTTACTATATTTTTAATATTTTCATCAAGTAAATGCTAAAAAAAAAGAAGAGAATATGAATATAATAGAAAATTAAATATTCAATTAAACGAATATAAAATTAAAAGTTTATAATTACCTCCAAAAATTGATCAAGAGCATGATTAGTAAAACAAATTGTGAGAATAGGACCAATTTGTGTTCTACGATTTTCTTTGGCTAATAACACCTTCATTATTTCAACACCAACCACAGTTTTACCGGTGCCAGGCGGACCTGTTAATTATTAATTTTATTAAAAGAAAAATTTTGGTCGTTAAAAAAAAAATATACTTTACCTTCAATTAATGCAATTTCACGTGTTAAAGCAAATATTAATGCTTTGGCTACAATTGAAAGTTCAAAACAGAGTTAATAATTATTTTTGAAAGGTTATTTGATTACCTTTAAGAACAAAAATTACGCTATATACCTTGAGTTTCATCTAATTTACTATAATTAGCAACATTTATCGCTACTTCATCATGAGTAGATGCATCAGCAACATTTAATTTTAAACTTTGTTCTTTGTTTTTACATAACACTGACAGGTCAAATTGAAATTCTGGTGCTCTAGTATAAAAAGGATTATCAACCTCAATTTCACTCTCTCTATTCAAATCATCAAGATCAGGAGCCAAATATTTTTCGAAAGGGAGAAGAGAAGGATTTGCACTTTGAAGAGTTTTAAGAGTATGAATGTAAGTTTCTAAATAAACTCCAGTTGATTCCAACATAAACCTTTTTTCTAAAGACTTTTTAGTTATTTTATCACGATTTAAAATTTCGTCCAAGGCAATAGGATAAATTGATGAATCAATAAAGTTAATACCAATCGTAGCATGATCATAATCAGCTAAATCTTCTTCTTTTCTCGTTACAACAACACCAAAATAAAGTGAGTATAAATCAGAATTATTTACATTACCATTAACAAAGTTATTTGATTGTGCTTGTATAATATCTCTGTTTGGCAATAAAAGAGTAACTAGACTACCAACTTGTAACTTTTTACATTTTCTCCAATATTCTATTCTACCTTCTAAATTTCTTGCACTACGAACATTTAGAGGAGTAAATCTTAGAGTACAAGAAAATCCTTTTCTTCTATTACAAACAATATCAACAAATTGTATTCCTGTATATACTTGTAAATCACTAGTATTATCATATCTAAATCTACCTCCTTTTTCTTGTATGTTTTTTAATTCTCTATTTTTATTAGAAGATGACCAATCATTTATTAATGCAGTTATAAAGTTTGATATTCCACTACGGATCACATTTAACATATCTTCTCTTAAAAGTCGAAATTGTGTATCAAATAATCTTTCCATTCCATCAGGTAAAAAGTGAGGTGCGTTAGGGAGTGAAGAAGGTAAAAAAGGTTGACGATCACACATCACTTCTTCTTTTGTAGGAATGATTGATATTTCTGAAATTCTTTCAAAGTCATTATCGTGTCTTCTACCATTATTTGATAGTTCACCAGGTGGATCATAAAACACATTAGCTATAGCTTTTTCGCGTAATTGTAATTTTGAGTTCAATCGTTTAGAGGTTTTTTCAATGATTGGTAACATTTTATTCATGATATTCATTTCTTTTTCTAATATCTCGAAAAATAATTTTCTAGTTTCCAAATTATTAATTAATGGATCTGTTGAGGTAGGTGATGGTTGTTGCTCAATTGATTGCTGGTAGTCAACTTTTAGCCGCTGTAAATCGCGAGCAATGTTACACATTGTCTCATTGATAGTTGCTTCCTTGACACGATATAATAATTCTGTAAGAAGTCGCACAATTACTAGGAAAAATATTCCTAAACTAATAAATTAAAGGAATATTAGTTAAATGTACCCCACCAGGTTTTGTACATAATATGTGTTTGGTTACTTACGAAGTTGGAATAAATGAATATGGTTCTTCAGATAATAAATCTTCCACGCTAATGCAATTATCTACAAGCGAATTACGTTGCACTAACGTCTCCAACATTTTCATCACACCATCATAAAGAAAAGAGTCCTATTTATTTATTAATTTATTTAATTTTTTATGATATTAAAATTCAAATGTTGACATAAATTATAGTATTAATGTAATACTTACAAGGTTTGTATAAACAACCATAAAGATGGCATGAACGTAATTTTCCAAAGTACATTCAGTAATAGTAGTTCTAGTTAATACTCCTAGTAAAGGTAACACGACATATTGGAAAGATAATACCCGTTTATCAAGTCCTGCATCACATGACATAGAGCGAAAATTTATGATTTCCCTTAATTTCTTAAGACCATCAGGATTGCCCAATTCTGTTACTAATTCTTCTGCTCCATAATCTACTTGAGAATCCGTTGCTGATAAGGCTGAACTAACGAAAATTCTAACATCATTTTGATTCAATGGATTCTTTTTCCTCAACACTCTTTTCCAAGCGCTATTTTTAATCTCTTCTCCGTTAGTAATAAAAATTATTTTGTCACTACCTTTATGTGTTAGTTCGGAAAAGCTGAAAATATTCCCTTGTCTAGGTGATTGTGGAGGATAATTTCTTTGTGTAGGTTGCAAATAATTTCTTTGTCTTGGTGGCGAATAATCCCTTTGTCTTGGTGACAAGTAATTTCCTTGTCTAGGTGGTGGAGAATAATTTCTTTGTGTAGGTTGCAAATAATTCCTTTGTCTTGGTGACGAGTAATCCCTCTGTCTTGGTTGCGAATAATTCCTTTGTCTTGGTGACGAGTAATTTCTTTGTCTTGGCGGCGAGTAATTTCTTTGTCTTGGTGGTGAATAATTCTTTCGACTTTCTCTACGATGTGGTGGCATATATTTTTCTACCTCACGGTCAGATTTATGATCTGTATCATCAATAACTTCGCTAACATTGAAATTATTACCACTACCACTTGTTCCAGCATAATCATTATCGTTATTATTAGTACCAGACCTTTTAAACATAATGGTAAATTTTCGAACAAATGCTTTAGTTATATATAATTATAAGTGTTAATCAGTGATATTTGTTATTTGTAAGTAATAATATAATATTGTTATTGTGACTTAAAAGATATTTAAATTTTAAAAATTAACAATAAAATATTTTTTCTTTCTATCAAGAATTTCCTTGGAAAATGACGACCCTTTAAATAATTTTCAAATTTTGTTTCTTAAATTTGTCTTTATTATGTACTAATACTATTAACAATTAAAAGTTTCATATGAATTTATTTGAATTTGACATTTCATAACAACTAGTTTAATTGTTTAATTGTTCCCAAATATAGTTAGGTATGATAGTATAATTAGTATATGATGAGTAGATCATTTTGTTTACCGGTTAAAGTAAAGGGCATGAAAAAAAAGCAGTCTATTTTTGGTAGTGAACGGCGCTGCGCCATGAAAAACAAACATTGAGACAAAAGTGTTTGAGACGCTTGTTTCAGGATTAAAGAAATCCAAAACCCTTTTCAAAATTTAAATGTCTATTGTTTAATTTTATATAAACATGTAAATTTCAATATTGAAACAACCCCTTTTTTGTGTCGTTAGTTTTGTATCAGAAATAGCCTTGTAAAAAAACTTTATATAAAAATTTGTTACATGATCGGCAAAATTATAAAGTAAAAAGACAATAATTCCCGGGTAATAAATTCTATTTGTAAAACAAGATGAAAGAGCACCTTTGAAATAAGGAGAACGAGCACGTAAAATTACTGAATGTGCACGAAATTCTTTTGTATTGTTATTCTCGCCTACTTGAATAATAACATTATAATCATCAGCATCATCTAATATGGTCTTTCGAACGGTTGGAATGAAATAATGAAGCCATTTTAAGAATGACGTTATTGAAATTTATATATAGTTATACAAAATTGGGTTCATTGAAAGTTTTAACTGGGAAATGACGTATGTGTTTGCCTACTAATAATATAATTGAAAATCTATTATATTGTACAGCAGTAATGTGACCCGTTGCAGCTCTAAAATTTCTAATATGAATTACAAAGAGATAAAAAAATTTGTGTAAGCTCACCTTTTTTTAAAAAAACATATTTCGTTTATGTGAACAAATGAATAATAAATCCGATTTTTGTCCGGCATGTTATATAAGTCGCGTTTGTGTATTGTCAATCGTCACGTGGGTCATACTCTGATTAGATCAATCGCTAAATATATGAAACTTGCTTGTGTAAATATAACTAGAAACATTAGAGAGTTTCGTCCAAAAATGGGAAGCTACTATTAACGTGACCAAAAAGAAAAAGAAATTTTACTTCAAAAATCACCGTAATAAACGCGATCGTAATCAACAGGACGCACTTCAACCTACAGCTTCGATTTCACACAATCAAAGAATGCGACGTTCGACGCTAAATTACCCATTGCAACCTTATACGCGCCGTGACAGCTTTTTTGATAATACAGCCTACATTAGATGGACATCTAGTAATTCTTTACATAGTGGAACTTAGGAATCTAATAGAGATAGTTTACTTTTTGTTATCATTTTTTTTTCTCCTTTTCTCGGCTTCTGATGGGTCACGGCAGTGTTCCCGGAATACCTCCGTCTACTATTGTTTTCAAAGGCCAAGATGTCATCGTCTCCACTTGTGCAAATGGTAGCGATTTGGTCGTTAGTGTTAGAATTATTTTTGACATTTTTTTTAACTTGTCCCTATAATTTGTACTTAGACTTTGTATACTCTGTGAACCAAAAATAAGATTAAAATTAATGAACAACAAATAATTACCATCTTTTGAACATTTAATGAACAATTATTTAATTTTTTACAGGGGAAAAGGTAAGTTTTCTTTGTTATCATCCTTTAATAAATAGAAAATCTTGTTAATGAAAGTGTTCATTAAGTAAGAAAGGATATTCTTTAGCATATCAAGTGTAAGTTTCTTTATAATAAAGTGTATAGCCAATTCTTCCTCCAGAATTAGTTTACCTTATTCAAAGAAACTTCTCTAGGTTGTATATCCTTTGTGGAGCTACATAAGAACCACTTTTGCAAAAGCAACATGGATCAAACTGGAATCACTCTGTATATATATATATAATGTCACCCTTTCACTGCATCAAAAAGAGTGATCTCACAAAGGCAACCTAAAGAAAAGGGACTTGCCACACTAAAAAAATATAAAGAAAATATACTTACTAGATTTCGTTTGTTTTTTCTATTATGTCGTCTTACAGTATATTGAGAAAGTGCTTCAATTTTGGTATGGTAAAGGTGATTGCAACAAGTCTTTGCTAACAAGTAACAACCTAAAATTTTCTAAATACATCGTGAAATTAATATTACAATAATACTACAATACATTGTATACAAACCATCATAAGATACTCGTTATTGGGCTTGTAGGGCTTCGTACAATAGCCAGAATAACATTAATTGTAATATTAATTTATTGACATTGTATATTTAATATGAATCGTAACAAATTGTTGTAAAATATATTATAAGTTATATACGTTGACTTCAATGATTATCCCTCACCTGATTAATCTAACGTTCTCCGAACTTTTGTCTCAACAGACAAAGAATTGTGGATATTAATCTTATTCTTAGTAATAAACTCACTCTCCTTCAAATAGGTGTAATTCTCCTTGCTTCTCCTATTTCTCAACGAAATAAATATGCTTCCAATCTTACTATCGGTTTTGTTTACCAGAAGATTTATTTAATCCTCTTCTATCCTCATTTCTTCGTGCAGTTACTTTGCATGCGTTCATTTCTCTTTCGCCATTCTTCATCTTTTGGATTTAATTATCAATACTATTAAAGAAACAAAAAAAGAACTCTCCAAATCCTGTGTAAAGAATATAGAAGCTGCTGTCTAAGAAAAAAATAACGAAGTGTGTGTGAGTAGTTGTTTGTTACTACAAACAAATTAAAGAAAAAATATATTTACCAAGATTTAAGATTTGAAAACCAATACGTCTAAAAAAATCCAAAGTTCTACGCATCCAAACTCCAAAGACCTACTAACGCTAAGTCTAAAAGAAAGAGACAAATGGTTAGTAAGACTTTTAAAAAAAAACAATTAAAAAAAATCATTTCATTGATACATACGAAATACAGTTTTCCACGAATCCTGCAAAAAAGAAAATAGAAGAACGTAAACAAAAGGTTTCTTCTCTTATAAAAAATAAAAAGGATTGAAGTTTCATAATGAAACTTACTTTGGCTTTTCTGATGTTATCCTATCCTATCGTATCTGAGTTGAAGCCGAAATTTCTATAAAAAAAAAAATTTTTCCAAAGCTTATTACCTTATGGCAGCAATTACTCACATGTGAATTTCCTTGTAACGCTAAGAAAAATTCGCATGAATTTATCTTAATATCATTAAACACATCTTTATCATATATCAAAAATATTATGTTTCTACAAAGAAGAATAATGTTAAAACTGTTTTTCTTAAAATTTTGAAATTTTTGTTTCAAAATTTACCTGAAAAAAATAGTTAAAAAAAATTTTTTTAATGTTGTTTTCAAGATTATTCAAAAACTCGTACAAGATCCAATAATTGGGAGTCAGAACCTACAAATAATATAAAAAAAAAATTCAGGAAATTTTTTTTTAAAAAAGAGGATCGAAAAAATTTCGAAACTTGCCTGTATAAACAGAGCTAGCTCCTCTTGCTGAATTTGTTACCATATCTGAGAATTTTCAACGAAAACTTTAATTTAAGACAACGTTAACTTTTCTCAAAATAATTATGAGTTTATATAATTACCAAAAAGATCGCTTACACATACACTTCAAGGCCTTCAAAAACAGCCGTTCAAAAAAAAGGAAGATAACGAAACTTTATTAGTAAAAGCATCGTTAAATAAAAATTTTCTGATTCCTAGAACAAGTATCCATGAATGAGATATAAACGCGTTCATATTTAACATTTAAAAGTCGCGAAGCTTGCGAGTTTTCTGAGTCTGATTTTAAAATTTTAATCGGTTAAACGACATTGAGTATGATATATACCTCCAATGTTGTATAGTATAGTGTCACATTGATAAGTATACTAAGTATGATAACTATACTTGGTATGGATAACCGCATGTTATACTTCGGACTTTTTTTTTTGAATATAAACTTTATTAATATTGTAATACAACGCCACGGGCTATTACAATGTACTGTAAACTAAACTCTACCCTCCCGTGACTAAACTAAACTCCCCTATTTTCTACGTATGTTTTGATTTAATTAGTATCATTTATTTGCCATGTATGTACGTACAGTACACTCAGTGCACAGTACATAGCTAAAGATCACCATACACTACACGCAAGGGTCTCTATACACTACATGTTTCCTAATTGCCCTATTTAAAGCGATAATAACTAAATACAGTACATAATGCTAATTACCGTTAAGACATTCAATTTATACATTTGTTATAATGACTTCTGAATGAAAACAATACATTTATTCTTTAGAAGATGTAAAGTTTTTCATATACAGCAGTATTATGGGAGGATCTCACAATAGAAGTCTTTAAAGAAAATCCTATAATTAAAGCTCCGCACGAGACGCAATTTTTTCCAACAAACTGAAATGTTATAATTTCTTCAAGTATGTTATAATAGAAGGTTATTGGACGAAAAAATTATGGGCATTGATCCTTACATTGAAAAAGGCCGTAATAGATCTTTGAAAAAGGAATTTGCTACCAGCCTCTTGCTATATCTCAAATTTGTTTTCTCAAAGATGCCATTTTCGCTTGATAGACTTCGTCAATATATATATATAAATATATAAGTCTACAATGATACCTATCATTACTATTTTTTTAAATTATTAGGTAAATTTGCATTTTGACAATCAGGATTACATTTACTAATTCCTCATCATAAATGTTGACAACTATTGCTATCACCAACACAATACATTACCCAACTCCAATATAATTTATCTTTTTTGAATTTGTTTAACAAATTCTTCACCTTTTTCTGTTAATTAAATAATATCGCCAATTCTATTTGCTGGTTTTGTTTTACCACTTGATGTTGTCCATTCAACATAATCAACTGCTCCTTCAACTCTTTTAACTTTAATAATTCCTTCATTAATGAATTGTGGTGCTCTCTATCTACTTCTTGCTTTTAATCTAATGTTTTTGATATGTAATACTCCGCAATGGTACACTAAGTTTTGCAAGATTGGATATTCAAGATCACGTGATCTATGTATGATGTGATTCTGTGTTTGATGCGATATATAAAATTTTTTTTCGTGTCAAATATTTCACCTATTTATACATTTTATTTTTGGAAACACTGGAATCACATATTATAAACAATAAATTTTAATATTTTACGTTTTTTTGAAATTTTTAAAGTTTGTTTTAGCAAGTATTAAAGTATTTATATACTGTATATTAATTTTATATATTTTGACATTTTGTATAAATAGCACAGACTTGTATACTTTTAGTTAGGTATATGTTGCTTTATCAGTTATACAGAGAATGTTAAAACAAAGAAAAAATCTCATAAATTTATAAAGTAAAAATAAAAAGATAATTTCTTAATGTACACTAGTGTGCGAAACACATATCACGTGACTATAATTTGTCACCCATGTCACGCCCATATAGTTTTCCATTTTTACTATTTATTCTAGGGACTTAAATTTTTTCGGTAGGAAAAACCTTATTTATCACATATTATATGTCACATACCATAATTTCGGCCAAATTTTATAATTCCAATAATTCCAGCCAAAAATTACTGTAATTTCCAATTTTGGAAATTAGAGTAACGTTACACAACCCAAAAAGGAAATCATGTTTCTCAGTAAAAATGAAAATACGTTATACAAATTTCCAAAATAGGGGGACGTCTAAAGCGGAGTCAAATCACGTGACTTCGAAAAAAATTTATTTTCTAAATAAAATTTTTCGCAATATATATATACGACCTTTTAAACATATATACTAAGTGTATTTTGGCCTGCTCTGCAAGTTTACTTAGAATGACAAAATGAGTTTTGAATGCCGTTTTTGATTTATTTGACTTTTCATTTTTGTCTATCCATTTTTGGATATGATCAGCAAAAAAGCTTTTGCTAATATATAAAGTGAAAACCAGTATTCAAAATCTACCTTTTAACCTTAAGTAAACTCGTAGAGCAGGCTAAGATACACTTATTTTATGATTTTCAAGTTTATGTTAAACTTGATTCATAAAAAAATTAGTTCACTCATATTATATTGAATCACGTGATTTGACTCCGCTTTAGACCTGTCTCTTATACACATCTAGATGTGTATAAGAGACAGCGTGACATGTGTTTACACACGTAGTGTACAAATAGAAATAGTCAAATAAAAATATAATAAAACTATTTAAAACTTAAAAATTTATTTTATTCTATTGGCTTAGTTACTTAAATATTAAAAGTCTTTGAATTTTTTCGTGAATGTTTTTAACACAAGATCAACCAATCAAAATTTAGACACCACACTTTATATCACGTGCCAGGGCTTTTTTGTTGGTTACGCTGGGAGTTATGATAGGACCGGGAAAACTACTAATAAAGGTCACCGGTTTTCTTGGTTCGAACCCATATTTAATTTTCAAAAAGGTCACCGTAAAAATAATTAATAAAAGTCACGTGTTGGTTCGCAAGAATAAGAAAATTTGAGTGAAGATCTTTCCTTTTTCTGTTTTTGGAGCGAAAACATGTGAATAAATAGCCAATTGACCAATCATAAGATGGTTCGCATATATATGATTTTCTGATTTTTTTCCGGTGACCTTTATATATAGTTTTCCCGGTCCTGTTATGATATGCATCAATTTCTGGGTTGGTAACCTTCGTGGGAGCACAGAATCACAACATTCTTGCACTACATTACGATGAATTTAAAAACTATGGGCTCATTCAAATTAAGAAATTCATAACTTTAACTTTTTTACCTTAAAATTCATTTTTTTATAATTTTCTTTTTATTATTAAACTTTAAGTATAAACTGAATCAAAGTTTTGTAATAATGTCTAGTAATACTGGATTTAATTCAAATGAGTGGATTGATTGGATTGAAGAAGCTATTGCAAAAAAGCATATTAAATATTACGATTACAAACATTTTAATAATATTCAAGAAATTGGTTCTGAAGGTTTTGGAAAAGTATATCGTGCTAACTGGAAAAGTTTTCACAATCATTTAGCATTAAAATCTTTCCTTAATTTCAATAACATCACAGTTAAAAAAATTGTTAATGGAGTAATTATAATTATATGTTAACATTTTATCATTTTTTTTTTGTTTTTCTATCTTTAATTATATATTATATTTCTAACTTAAAATTTTATTTCAATATTAGATTAATCTTCAGCATGAAATAGATTTTCATGAAAACATTATTCATTTTTGTGGCATTACAACAGGTACGATATATAATTTGAATCATTATCTTTTCTTTTTGAAAAAAATAAAATTTAAACAATTTTTCTTTTTTTTTTTCTCAAAGCAAACCAAAACAATAATTCAAAAAATTATTTACTGGTTATGGAATATGCCGATAGTGGTACTCTCCGAAATTATTTAAGTGAACGTTTTAATAATCTCACTTGGAACAATAAATTGGAACTAGCATTTCAATTAGCTAATGCTATATCATACTTACATAATAAAGATATCATTCATTGCGATTTGGTAGGTTGTCTACTTCAGTTATTTACACTTTAATAAATTATACTGTATAATTATGCTAATTCAGTCATTGCATTTAATAATAGCACTCAGATAATATATTAGTTCATAAGAATACCATTAAATTAGTGGGTTTTGGATTGTTAGAAAGGATTGAGGAATCATCCCAATCAAAATTATTTGGAATGGTTGCATATGTTGATCCACAAGTATTTAATAGAAAAAGGGATAGTAATATCAAAATAGTATATTCATTAAATAAAAAGAGTAACATCTACAGTATCGGTATACTCTTATGGGAAATTTCTAGTGGACGGCCACCTTTTCATAATGAACCACATGATGCTGGCTTTGCTATGGAAATTTTACAAGGCCTTAGAGAAAAACCTATTCCTAATACACCTGTAAATTACATAAAAATATACACTGGTAAGTACAATGAAATTAATTATATTAATAATGACAATATTGATTAATTATAAACTTATTTATATCAGATTGCTGGAATAATGAACCAGATAATCGTCCAACTGTCAACCAGGTTATTGCAAAATTAAATGAAATTATTCCAAAAGAAAATGTTCAATTATCAAGTGAACAGAAGAGTAATGATGATGTTTCCAAAAATATTATTGATAATATTGATAATTCATTTTATGGAGAAATGTCTCAAATCATTGAAAATTTTAATAAAATGAGTATAGAAGAAATAGAACCTTCAATGTCATCAAATAATAACTTTGACATAATGGTTAATGAAATAATACTCCTTCTTGATAATGCAGATATTGTAAGGAAAAAACGTGAAGTCATTAATTATCTTAATAATCATAATATAACTTCACAAGAAATTTATGCTTGGTTATTAATTAATCAAAATGATTCAAATTCCATCTTTTTACTTGGAGTATTTAATCATTTTGGAATTGAAGTCAATGTTGACAAACAAAAAGCATTTGAATTATATCAAAATGCAGCAAATTCTGGAAATGTATTTGGAATAACTAGTCTAGGATATTGTTATGATGAAGGAATTGGAATCAATGTTGACCAGCAAAAGGCATTTGGACTATATCAAGAAGCTGCAAATTTAGGAAATCTACGTGGAATATTTAATTTAGGATATTGTTATCAATATGGAATTGGAATTAATATTGATGAACAAAAGGCATTTGAATTATATCAAAAGGCTGCAAATTTAGGAGATTTATCTGGAATATGTAATTTAGGATATTGTTATCAACATGGAATTGGAACTTATATTGATGAACAAAAGACATTTGAATTATATCAAAAGGCTACAAATTTAGGAGATTTATCTGGAATATGTAATTTAGGATATTGTTATGATAATGGAATTGGAACTAATATAGATAAACAAAAGGCATTTGAATTATATCAAAAAGCTGCAAATTTAGGTAATAATTCAGCTCAATATAATCTTGCTTTAATGTATGAAAATGGAGAAGGAATTAAAAAGGATATAAATCAAGCAAATTACTGGTATAAAAAATCTGCTGAGCAAGGAGATCAAGATGCCCAAAATAAATTAAATGAATAATTAAAGGAGCATACTTTGTATAATTATTAACTTTATTCAATAAATTTTGTTATGAATTACCTTTTTTTTAGTGGGATAAGAAATGGTCATAAAATATGAATAATTTCAAAATTGAAATTACTTACAATAAACATAAAAAATATGCATGAATTTTAGTTCATTAAATCATATTCTTTCATGATCTATTATTAAACCAGTTATTTAACATTTACAAAAGTAAATAAAATGCAAAGGTAAGCAAAAGATTTATTAAAATAAGAAAAATAAGAAACTAATAAAATAATCCAATTAGATATAAATATAACAGCACCACTATGTAAGGTGTTTTGTGGAAACTGGGTAAGCCAAATAGTCTCAAAGAGAAGGAATTAAGTAATTGATTCTAATAACTAGTGAGTATTATAGGATTGTCAAGATGAACAAAACAGCTCGCCTTTTATTAAAAAGGAAACCATATTTTTTGAATAAAATTTTAGAAGTTAGTGATTATGATAAATATTTAATATAATCGTCATTATCCTGGCCTTTAATCTGTTATTTCTAAATAATACATATACTTCTATGGCTTTAGACAAAATTGGTAATGCATCAGCTTCATATCTAGAATCTAGGGATTTTAATACTCAGAGATTTCTGTTATTAGATGTGAATGAAAGAATTAATCAATCATTAACAATTCAAGAAACCTTTATTATTAGACACAAATAAAGGATTAATTAATTCCAAATTACTTAAATTACTTTATAATTCTTAAACTAAAACTTAAGTATTAAATTTTGCTCTTCTTTATAATATATTTTTTATTATGAATTTTTTTTTTAAAAAAAAATACAGATAAAGAATGATTTATTCTACTAAAAGATGAAATAAAACAATTCGTCGCCTGTATAATAAAAAAGGAAAACCCTACCCTGTGTCGCACAAAAAAATTATGATTATTGATAATAACTGCAATAGGCCAATATCTCTAAAAATTGTTTTTGTATTATGGGATTTCCAGTAAGTATCATTTTCTGGACATTTTCGATGACAATTCCAAACATTTTGGAAACAAAAATAAGATGACGTTATCGTTTTAGCTGAAGAAAAATAGTAAAGAAACTCAAATTTGGTAATATATATATATAATTAATATTTAAATAAAAAAATCTCAACATATATTTAATTAAAATATATCAATATTATAAATTATATATACAGTAATTTCTAATTATTTAAAGTTGAAAGTATGATGTATCCCAGTTATTAACTTTGTATGTAATTACCTCATAAATAATCTCTTCTTTATTTACACTGGCGTTGTCAAGGTTAATGGACTTTAATATAAAATATTGCTCTAAATAATTCCAATTGGCGAGATAGGTTTTTTCGTTAATTTTTTCAATATTGTAAAAATTTTTATATTCGTAATATTTTATATTGTTCTCTGAGATAATTTCCTCATTCAAATCATAACCACTGGTACTTTGCATTTTGTTTTTATTGGAAATAAAAAAATACTATAACAAAAAAAAAAATACCGTGACGTAAAAAAAATACTGTAACAAAAAAAATACCGTAACGTTAAAAAAAATAGTTATTAAATCCTTGTATATATAAATGTGAAAATCTGGATTCGAGCTAACTCAATTTGCGTACATTGGAACGATAGCTGTTAAATCCATATAATTATGTGCATATATATATAAATACAAATCAGTTGCGCCAAGTTTGTTTGTATTGCAATCATGTTAAAATTTAACTTAATTTGTGCACATTGGAACGAAGAGTAAAAAAAAAGAGCCATTAAATCTATTAAATCAATATATATATATACTGTGTCAGTTGCCCAAGTTTTTTGTACTGCAAGCATGTAAAAATCTAACTCAATTTGTGCACATTGGAACTGAAGAGTAAAAAAAGAGCTATTAAATATATATATATATATATCTCAGTTCTTTGAACGCATATCACATATTGTATCACGTGGCGAAGTGCTTAGCCGTACGATAATATAGATGTTGTACGGTATTTATATTGGTTAACGAAGTGACGTTAACCAATATAAATGCAACACCGTACAATATCCATAAAATATATAACAATGAAGTAAACAATAAACATAGCAGGGCAGTCGATTAGTCGAATACCCAAAAGCAATTTTATTGTGGATTTCGTAACTATTTCGTAAATCACATGATCGAATCAGGTGTTTCGTGTTTATCGGACCGAAGATTTTCCGAATTTACATATAAGGATATTCATTCGGGAAATTTTGGACAATATTACATTTCTTTTTCTTTGAAAATCGAAAGTCAGTTATAATGTATGATGACAAATTTTTACCAAAATTATCCCAAAATTTACTTGAAATTTTAGAGGATAATGAATTTTATGATGTAACTATTGAAGTTGGTAATGATCCTTATGTAAAGATTTTTCGTTCTCATATGGTAATTTTAAATTATCGCTCTCCCTATTTGCGAAGAATTTTATCGACTAACGCTAATAAAAAGAATGATGATGGAATCTTGGTACATATTAAATTACCAAATATTTTTCCTGGAATTTTTCAAATGATTTTAAGGTAGGAAAATTGAAATAATAAATTATATCTTTTTTTTTTTTTTTTGAAAAAAATATAAATGTATTTAATTCTTACGGATAATATTCAAATATTTTTATTTTAGATATATTTATGGGGGAAGACTTTCTTTAGAGGAATATGATACTTCAGATATTATTAAAATCTTGATTGCTGCCAATGAACTTAGTCTTCAAGAATTAATCACTCATTTACAATCATTTTTGATTGAAAATAAAAAAAATTGGATGGAAAAAAATTTCAATTTAATATATAAAACAAGCTTTGAAAACGATTCTTTCTTGAAATTACAAAATTTTTGTACGGAATTAATATCCAACGAACCTGAAAAAATTTTTAATTCAATTGATTTTATTTCACTTTCAGAAAAATCTTTAATTTCTCTTATTCAACATGATAACTTACAAATGAATGTTATTCAAATTTGGGAACATGTACTTAAATGGGGTATTGCTCAAAATCCTGGACTTTCTTCAGACCCTTCAAGTTATTCAAAGGATGATTTTAATACTTTAAAAATTTTTTTTTATTTATTTTTTTTTTTTTTTTAATTTTTTTATTTTTTTTTTAATTATTTTTTAAACATAGTTTATCCGTATAAAAAAATCATACCAAAAGATTTACGTGAAAATTTAATTAAACACTTTATAGATCGATCAGAAACAATGATAACAACCAAGGAAATTAGTTCAAAAAGTATTGATTCAAGAATTATTACATTTCAACATACTGAATTAATTTCAAAATGGATCGATAGATTAGAAAATACTGACGAGATGAAAAATTTATATGAATTCAAGTTAATTTTTCGTGGAACCCGGGATGGATTCTCAGCTAGTAAATTCCATGAAATTTGTGATTATAAATCTCATACTATATCAATTATTAAAGTGAAAGATAGTAATGAAATTCTTGGAGGATATAATCCGATCATATGGAAATCTGATAATAGTTATGGCACCACTAAAGATAGTTTTATATTTTCTTTTAAGAATAAAGAAAATGTCGAAGAAAATGTTTTAAGTCGAGTAAAGGATGAAAGATATGCCACATATAATTACCCTAATTATGGCCCAGTATTCGGTTCTGGTGAACTTAACTTGTTTATTAGAGTGTTTAAAGGCAAAAGTAGAGGGAGTGTGCGAGAACCAATTTATTATGAATCGATTAGAGAAATTGATTCATTTTGCGTAGAAGAATTTGAAGTATTTCAAATTATGAAAGATTGATTAATTAAAGATGTTAGTATATTCTTTACGATTCATATGTATTTAGTATAATTTATTTACCCGAAAAATATTATTATAAACTAAATAAAACTGTAATACTGGTTAATAATTATTATTTAAGCATAAAATTATATATTTTGTATTTTACCCTATAAAATTTTATCCGTTATTCACGGATTAATTCACGGAAAATGTAAATAATTCGATAAATAAGGTTATTAATTCCGGAAATATGAGCCTTTTACGGAAAAAAAGAAGTATAAAAAACGGATCGACTTTTTTTTACAGGGTTAGTAATAAAATTTTTATTAGTTAATGGACGAGGTAATTTTGAATTCGTTCTAATTTATTATTTTAACTACAACTTTGATCAATATGAATTGAATTGTTTTAACTGATTTAGTAAATAGTTTTTAGTTCAAAAAATATTTCTTTGTTATAACATTACTATAACATTACTCATTTTATACTATTAAAAAGTTTATCATAAAATGAATGAAGATTTAAGCACACATGAATAGTTCTCCACCAAAAGTATCTTTATCAGTTATTAGTCTTAAATAAATCGAGCATTGGCAACATTGATACCACGTGTGTACTCGTGTTTTATCATGACAAAGTGGTTGAAAGCTTTAAATATTACTGAATAGTAAAATTTTATTATAATTAGACCCTATAAAAAATTGGACGTGTTTCTAATAAGGTTTTATACAATTTTTTCTTAAAAATAATGTATCTATATAGGGATACAGGAAAATGCAAAATTTCATATCACAAAAATGCTGATTCGAGTAAAACGTCTGATGAATATTGGAACTAGTTTACTATACATATTTATATTTAAATAACAATTTCGGTATATTCCGCCGATAATGTATAAACTTCTTTTAGGATATTTTCTGACAGGTCATTATTTTTTTTTTAACTTGGCGAAAAAAAAGACATTACATTTAGCGCATAATGAATCGAAAATTTTCATTTATACTAAGTAACAGACTCAATATTCTTTTTTCACTATAATTAGGTTAGAAATTATGAATTTGGGATTATCCTGCATTATGGAATTTTAAAAACAAAAAGGTTTTACGAACATAGACATAATTTTATGGATGTATCCAATCATCAATTTAATCGACAGGGGAGAGGGATTCACGTTCTCACTCTTTAGATAATATTGTTTACAAAACTAATCATTCACCGACTAATCACTTTGCTGGCAAATCTGGCATATTATTTTAAAGTCAGATTTGACCAATATTATTAATAATACATGGTATCGTTTAAAATTTCAATGATCTAGCACTTTCGCTCCAGTATAATTTCTATGTTGTTATATATTGTATATATTTAGAAAAAAAATCAATTACTCCATGTATAGTAAGTGACTAAGAGAAGTAAGTTAAATTATTATTGATACTTACTGATAAAACTAAGAAATATACTTAGATATAACAGAAACCCCATTATTTGTGATTAATTTTTAATAATTTGAATAGATATGTCAAAAAATCAATTTATTTTTACTCACCCAGAAATGGTTAAGCCGTAAGCAATAGTATCATCTTCACTGTCTCCACTGACTTCATATGTTAAAATCCATGCTAATAGAATTAATGTAATTTTTCGTTATTTAAAATATTAAAAGTGCCTGTCATCGAGATTATAACTTACTGAATACTAGTGGTATAAGAATCCAAAGGAAATAGCTATTATTAAAATTATAGTTAGATGATACATTTAAATTAAAATACGTAAAACGTAAATTAATTATAATATATAAAATTACAAAAAGTCTATACATGCCATAGTAGACATAGTTATTTCTACGCCATGTTCGTTATAATCTCCAATTTTACGTAAAGTTACCAAATACCAAATTTCTTTATTTATTATTTTTACAAATAAAAAATAAATTAAAATTATTGAAAACTAAGATATTTTATAAGTCTCATACCTGTACCAATACATGCAGTCAAATAAAGAATATAAAAATTTTTAATGATAACAAGAGAAGTTCTAATAATTTGAAACAAGTCTTTATGAAATATTTTATGAAATATTATGCTTGTAAAATATTTTTTTTTTTTTCTAAGAATAGCTAAAAATTAGCATCATGATATGATTCTTTAACCTGGTATATATAAATGTAGAGCCAGTTTAGGATCAGCTAGCAAGTGGACTAAAATCGGAAATTTGTTACACGTGTCACACTCTTCCGTCAATAAAGTGGGTTGACGTTAACTGTTAAATCTGTTAATGGGTAACTTTATTCTATTATAAACCTCATGAAAAAATTACGTTTTGAATGAAATTATCTTTAGAATAATGTACGATGTTCTCTTAAAATTAATTTTTAATAACGCTTCATTATCAATTACCATCATTCTACGCCTTTGCGTTAATTTATATAAAATAAATATTTTATTATTTATACAACATACAACCCGTTATATATTGTTTACTTATATTAATTATACATATACTCACATATCCGATATATAAAATAAAAAAAAATCGTGTTATGATACAATTTCAACTAGTGCTCCTACCGGGTCAAGTCGGGTCGGGTTTTGAGGAAATATTCGACCCGATCTGAATAAAAAAATATAAGACTCGTATTTATTCGGGTCTCATATTTTCGTAACCCGACCCTTGACTCGACCGAGTATAATTTAACTCGTGTAACCCGGGTTAGACCCGAACATTTAAGTAAAATGGGTACTAACTTATTTTATGTGAGATTTTCTTATAATAATAACAAAATTAATTTTTTTTTATTTGAAAAAAGGCAACTTAGTGATTAACCACTAGTAGCCACCTAAAATTTGTATCATGAATGGTTATACAAAACATGTAACACTAGCTCTTATTTTCTCCTAGATTAATTAAATAAAATAAAATTAAAAATACAAATTTTGAACCTGGTTTAATATAATAAAAGTCAAAGAATTAGGCAAAATAATTAGCAGATATTCAAATCAAAGATAAATTGGAATTCTAAAGCTATCAGAAAAATATTATTCTCAAAAGCCAAAGGTTAATTTTTTTATTTTTCTGATTAAGCTATGTTAATATTTGTTAAAACTAATTCTTGGCTTAATTTTGGCCAAAATTATAATTTTGCCAGAATTAAAACCATCCGGGTCGATCCGGGTCAAACCCGGGTCAAACCCGAGTCAAGGAAATTTATAACCCGACCCGGCGGGTCGGGTCATGCGGGTCATGCGGGTCACGGGTCATTAAAAATCGTTAGTACCGACCCGATTTAAAAGTCGAGTCGGGTCAAATTAACCCGGGTCGACTCGTATCATTCGGAGCACTAATTTCAACTTTACCAGCTTCCTCATTTTTTATCATCTAATGAATTGAAAATATCATCAAGGCCTTTACATAGATTTCTAATTCTATTAAATTCATCGATCAAGGTCATCCTATTATTATTCATGTCATTGATATCCCTTAGAATATATTTTTTACCAAGGATTTTCCAATTTTTTAAATCTTCATACGTTGATTGTAATTTTTCAAGAATACTTATATGTTTTTCTATAGAATTTTGTAATTTTGATCTAGTCGAGTACGCATTATACATAACTGCTGTCGTCGTTACTCCTGTTAGTCCTGTCACGCATAATGCTGCTTTTTCAATCCATTTCTATTTAGAAAAATTTTTTAGGTCATTAAAATTTAATTAAATTTTTTATATAAAAAGAAAATAAACAATAAAGTGTAAGTAGTTCACCTCATATTTCTCGTTATCTTTATTTTCGGATCTCGATCTCTGTTTATTATTTTTATTATACAAATATCCACCACCTATAACTAACGCAGTAATTCCGATTGTACTATTAAATTGAACGCAGTAAATTTTTTTTTTAAAAAAAAAAATAATTAACAAATGAAAGAATTAAAATGTAAAAAATTGAAAATTGGAATCATAATAAATTCTCAAACTTACATAGCAGCGGTAATTACTTTATATGATAAATCTTGCTTTTTATCTTCTAATTTTTCTAATTCTTTATTACAATCATTATTAATAATCATAACAACTGTCATTAAATCTTCCGCAGCTTTAACAAATTGTTCGAGTCGTCCTATCAGAAAAAAAAAAAAATTTTTTTTTTATGATCAGGTTGCAAAAAAAAAAATTTAAAAAAAATGAATAAAAACTTACGTTGAAGTTTTTCATATTTTTCCTCATCAATCACATCACATAAAATGATCAATAAATCCATAAGAATTTTATCCAAGATTGATAAATAATTCGTAAAATCTGATTTTTGTGATTGAAAAATTTTTTTAAAACCTTCATCAGAATCTATTAATACTTGATATGATTTATGAATCGAAAGAATGACGTTATTTAAATTCCATAATGTTAAGATAATTCCGAATTTATAATTTTTAACCTAATTAAAAAAATAAATAAGAACGTTTAGCTCAACAGTCGTACTTAATTCGATTGTTACTTGATTCACCTTCAATCATACTTACAAGTTCCGTTACAATTCCGGCTTCGCAATTTTTGATATAAAGTTCAGCGTGTTTAAATAAATATCTAGCAAAATTACGAACGATCAAATTTGAATCCATAAAATTATCCTCAATAACAGAATAAGGTTTATCACTACCAACAAAAGTGACAACATCTCGTATTTGACCAAAGTATTCATTAGCTAATTTACTAATAGTAATAGTCAAATCCTTTCTTCGAAATGTATTATGAAATAATCTTTCTAATTCATAATTTTTTAAAGTTGATTTAGAAGTAATTTTTTTAGATAATTCATTTAACTCACGTTCAATCTCTTCTTCATCTATAATTGGATAAAGATCTAAATTTGGTTGTTGTGTCATAGAAGAGGAAGAAGAAGAAGTAATAGTAACGTCATCAGAAGATAAACTTCTATTGAAACGAATTTGTTGAGAAGCAGCCGTATCAGTATTTTTATAAATTGTTCTAAAAGTGACAGTATCGGAAGCTAACCAATCAAAAAGACCATTATCAGATATATTAAAAAATTTTTCTGCGGAATTTTGTAAATGTCGAACCAAATCTGTGTGAGTTCTATTCGTAAAATTAAATTTAACCTAATAAGGAATTAAAAGAA